ACACCTTACACTACCATCAACACCCCACACTGCCATCAACACCCCACACTACCACCTACACCCCACACTGCCATCAACACCCCACACTACCACCTACACCCCACACTGCCATCAACACCCCACACTGATACCTACACCCCACACTGCCATAAACGCCCCACACTACCACCTACACCCCACATTGCCATCAACACCTTACACTACCATCAACACCCCACACTGCCATCAACACCCCACACTGATACCTACACCCCACACTGCCATAAACGCCCCACACTACCACCTACACCCCACATTGCCATCAACACCTTACACTACCATCAACACCCCACACTGCCATCAACACCCCACACTACCACCTACACCCCACACTGCCATCAACACCCCACACTGATACCTACACCCCACACTGATACCTACACCCCACACTGCCATAATCACCCCACACAACCACCTACACCCCACACTGCCATCAACACCCTACACTACCATCAACACCCCACACTGATACCTACACCCCACACTGCCATAAACACCCCACACTACCACCTACATCCCACACTGCCATCAACACCCTACACTACCATCAACACCCCACACTGCCATCAACACCCCACACTACCACCTACACCCCACACTGCCATCAACACCCTACACTACCATCAACACCCCACACTGATACCTACACCCCACACTACCATCAACACCCCACACTACCACCTACACCCCACACTGCCATCAACACCCTACACTACCATCAACACCCCACACTGCCATCAACACCCCACACTACCATAAACAACCCACACTGCCATCAACACCCCACACTGCCATCAAAACCCCACACTACCATCAACACCCCACACTGCCATCAACATCCCACACTACCATCAACAGCCCACACTGCCATCAACACCCCACACTGCCATCAACACCCCACACTGCCATCAACACCCCACACTACCATCAACACCCCACACTACCATCAACACCCCACACTACCATCAACACCCCACACTACCATCAACACCCCACACTGATACCTACACCCCACACTGCCATCAACACCCTACACTACCATCAACACCCCACACTGCCATCAACACCCTACACTACCATCAACACCCCACACTGCCATCAACACCCCACACTGTCATCAACATCCTACACTACCATCAACACCCCACACTACCATCAACACCACACACTACCATCAACACCCCACACTGCCATCAACACCCCACACTACCACCTGCACCCCACACTGCCATCAACAACCCACACTGCCACCTACACCCACACTACCACCTACACGCCACACTGCCATCAAAACCATACACTACCATCAACACCCCACACTGCCATCAACACCCCACACTACCACCTAAACCCCACACTACCATCAACACCCCACACTGCCATCAACACCCTACACTACCATCAACACCCCACACTGCCATCAACACCCCACACTGCCATCAACACCCTACACTACCATCAACACCCCACACTGCCATCAACACCCCACACTGCCATCAACACCCTACACTACCATCAACACCCCACACTGCCATCAACACCCGACACTACCATCAACACCCCACACTACCACCTACACCCCACACTGCCATCAACACCCTACACTACCATCAACACCCCACACTGCCATCAACACCCCACACTACCATTAACAACCCACACTGCCATCAACACCCCACACTGCCATCAAAACCCCACACTACCATCAACACCCCACACTGCCATCAACACCCTACACTACCATCAACACCCCACACTGCCATCAACACCCCACACTGTCATCAACACCCTACACTACCATCAACACCCCACACTGCCATCAACACCCCACACTGTCATCAACACCCCACACGTCCATCAACACCCCACACTGCCACCTACACCCCACACTACCATCAACACCCCACATTGCCACCATCAACACCCCACACTGCCATCAACACCCCACATTACCATCAACACCCCACACTGCCATCAACACCCTACACTACCATCAACACCCCACACTGCCATCAACACCCCACACTACCATCAACACCCCACACTGCCCTCAACACCCTACACTACCATCAACACCCCACACTGCCATCAACACCCCACACTACCATCAACACCCCACACTACCACCTACACCCAACACTGCCATCAACACCCCACACTACCATCAACACCCCACTCTGCCATCAACACCCCACATTACCATCAACACCCCACACTGCCATCAACACCCTACACTACCATCAACACCCCACACTGCCATCAACACCCCACACTACCACCTACACCCCACACTGCCACCTACACCCACACTACCATCAACACCCCACACTACCATCAACACCCCACACTACCATCAACACCCCACACT